GAGAGAGTCAAGTATGGCTGTACTTCAGAAAGAGTAACTGCACACTAGGTACTGTTGCCAAACTATAGGGACACGGGATGAGGATTTGTGTGTCAGCTTGTGTGTACAGTATGTTGTGTGTACAGTATGTGTTTCAGGCAGAGTTGGGGTGCATGCTGTGTCTCTTGGGGTTTTGGGGATGCCTTTTCTGACTGGTGGCTTCTTGACTGGATGATGGCGGCATGTGTAGCAAGGCATAGCAGAAAAAATCTCTTGAGTGTGTCCTCGCAGCCTAGCTATAGCTTCGTTGCCGCCAGAGGAGTTGGGAAGATTTTTTTTTTTTAGAGGTTAAATCTCATCTCTGTCTGCAGAATATTGTCGCAGCATTAGCATATAAATGTGCTCCTTGTGAGATGCATGTTTAATATGGGGGAGATTTAAAAGTATAATCATACACAAAGTGATGATGTGGCAGTGAATGGGACAAACACAAAACAGGGGAGGTGTACTGATGGGCTTTACCCCCCCCCCCCCCCACGCTCTTTGTGTGAACCTTTTGTGTCTATGTGTGTGAGACAGCAGATAGTGTACATAAAGTGTGTGAAGAGATAAAGCGAGTGCATTATTGATTCGGCGCCTGCCTGTGTGACTGACGGAACAATCAGCAGTGGCCTCAACTGAAGGAATATATGACTGCTAACCTGCAAAAAAAACCCCCCCCCCCCCGCTTTCCCTTGCTTTTCTCCCGCATCATCCCCACCTTACCTTACCCCGCCTCACCCCCCTTCTCCCCTCAGAAACCAAAGCAGAGAGACTGGCATCCTCCTGATGGCTTCATCCTGGGCCTGTGGACTCTAATCCTCCTGGTGTTTTTCAAGACGTACGGCATGAAGCACCTCAAACACATCTTCTGAGGCCGCAGCGTTTACGCCACTGGATATCTGAAGACGGCTGCAGATCTGGAGCGTTTACTGCAGGCATATTAGAGGTGCGCTTTCTGACGGGCTTATTTTCCTGAAAATGGAAAGGAAGTATGTATGGATGTATGGTACCACAACTGCTTGGCCAGGAACTGTGATGCAATTGGTGCCTTTTTTCGGTTTTGGATGTCTGCTCTATGCTGATGAAATTTTACATTGTTGTTACCACTAGCAGTTTGGCTTTAAACTGTGTTGTGTAGTCTTTTTGACAAGGACTTCAAATACTTATTTATATTTGTGTCGAAAGTTCTGTGTTTTTTTCAAGCCATTCCATAATTGATTTGATTTGGTAAATAAATGCACCGAATTTAGTCTGCAGATAAGAATTTCATTTATTTTTGAGAACGTGCATAAATCAGCAGCAGAAGCACTTTTTATTTAAGTGCTACTCAGAACGTGTGCTCGGTCAGAAAGAGGAAAGTGTTGGACGCGGGCAGGCTTATTGGCTGCGAGTGGGCTGTGAAGAGATTACTATTTAATGTCTCCCTTGTCCATATACATTACACCCCTTGACTGTCATATCACGCTTGTGAAGGATAACAATCGCACATAATCCCATCTCGCATGATGGACCCATCCACTTTCCCATTCACCAAATTGCCCTCCCTGTGGAAACATCCATTAGCTCCCCAGCCGTGCACTCCGCTGATTGTATTCTGGGTGATGGACAGCTATCTCCCCGGCCATTCCACGTCTCTCGCTACAGAAGCGATAAGTGAGTGATAACCTAGTAAGCCGCCAGCCGTCCCAAATGAATCTCCTCTGTGCTGGGACGTGTTTGCCTCCCCCCTCCCCCTCCCCCTCTCTACCTTTCCCTGCATGTGTAACCACTCTGTATTACACTCATTGTTTGAGGGGGAGTGACCGATGCTCAAAGCACATGGATTGAACCTGAGGTAGTTTGTCATTGCTTCTTGGCGTGAGGACCCGCCCATCGGGTGCCCGCTGCCACCGTCCCTCGCGGCTAAAGTGGAAAATAGATGGAGTTGGAAATGAAACCATATGTATCGGAATGCAGCTGCTGCGTCAGCCACCCAAACTACCTTTTCTGTCACATTATTTATGCAACGCTTATTTCTTCTTCCCATTTCTTCCTGGTTTCCTTTCCGAGAGAACAAGACCACCTTATTTCTTCAATCGAAGGATTTTGATACCCTGATTAAAGTTGAAACACTGAACCAAAGATGGATTTGTTTTTTTCTTTCTTAATTATTCTAATACTGTATAAAAACACCAGATCTGCTTTTACTGATGCCAACCCTTGAAGGTATGCCTTGCAGAGCTCAGTCTAAGCTTATTTTATACCACAAACGCATCCTTGAAATCGGGACCGCTTGAGCTGACTTGCACACCTGCTCTTTTGTTTTCTTACTGGAAACATTTCAAACGAGAGGCTTTTAAAAATGTCTTTTCTTTCAGTTCCAGTCTTTTATTTCAAGAGACAGAGCAGCCATGGGATCCAAGCCTCAACATACAATCCGTGAATAGCAGGCTGACAGCAGATGCAATACAAATTAAAGCCAACCTATCTCAGATGGATTTGTTTGTTTTTAAACCCACTTCAAAATTTACTCCATCTCCTCTGCGCCTCTTGTTCTTACGCAGACGGAATTTAATACACTCTCCCGTCTCCTCTGTCAATATGGTTTCCCTGTATGCTAATCGAGAGCCGTGTCTGTTTTCCTTCACACCTGACTTGGTGGGGAGAAGACCCAGTGACAGGACAATATTCGAGCAGCCATCTCCAAAGAAGCAGAGAGATTTCCTGTCGAAGAGTCGGGCAGGATGCTCTGAATGTGTCGCACGGGTTGTTCAAACGACGGAGCGGCGTCGGTATTCACCGGTGAGCACGCATACGCTTGTTGACTTTGGAGGTAGAACGTTGACATTAGTCCCATGTGACAGCCTGCTAAATTTAATGATTCAAACATACACAAACACACGTGCAGACGGCGTGTGCGCCTGACATGTCCAATTTCCATGGAAACTCTGAATTTCCTGCTTGCATGTCGGTGAGCCTTTGTAATGTCAATCATTCCCAGGAATAGTGTAAGTAATTTCAGTCGCAGATTTTCATTCTCATCTGCAACAATAACTGGCATAAATCATGCTCGGCAGCGCTTGTTTAATGTAGTGTTGAATTTAAATGTGGCTTTTCTAAAAATAAATTCAAAGAGATGAGGGTCACATGTTAATGGTCGCTTAGACAGAAAGCCCCGTAATAAATATAAGCATAAAAGCTTTGTCTTTTCCTGGTTGTGTAAAATTGATTTTGCATAATTTTAATGTTTTATTCATTCATACAAAGTATAAACTAAGAAAGCAAAGAAGATTCAACTGAGACAAACCCTGTGTTCTAAGCATACGAATGGTTTCGTATGTTGAAAACAGACAGTCGACTGTTTTTATTAATCGGTTTCCAACAAGACGACTTTAGTGTTTAAATTCACAAAACAATCTTACCTCGAGGTTTTCTACTTAGTTTAATTCATTAACGTTGCATGGCATAAAAATCTTAACTCATGTTTTTTTCCTCCGGCACTTTAAGCCGCATCTCATGGTCCTCATACACCCGTCATCACATGACTGAAGTTCCATACTTCTGAGATGACAACGTAGCCATCTGCGTGACAAATGAGCACATTTGGTACGTGGACTTTGTCCCCATTTGTCCAGTTCCTGTTTAATTTTTAGGAATTAATTTAGACGAGTTGTGGATTTTTTTAAAAAAAAATTTTAATTTATTTTTTATTTTTTTGATTGGACAAAACCAGTTTTGAGCCACTTGGTACAGGCATTTTGTCACTATTTTCTGCATTTCATCAGGTTATCTTCCTCAGTTTTAGCCAGCACCATCGGTATCAGGTCACATAGATGTAATTAATGATATAAATGGAAATTGTTTTCTACTGCTGGCAAGTACAGAAAAATGAAATATAAAAAATAATTCTAGGACATGGCCGACTGGTATGACATATTACATAGTCTTATTTAACTTAATTTAAATTGGTAATCCTGCAGAAACCATGTTACAGACAAAACTTTAGCAATTAATAAAAATAAAACATATGAAATAGTTCCAGACCCAGTGTTGTGATAACCGGTAGTATTTGTGTGTATATTAATCAGGATAAAAAGAAATGCATTCAGTTATTGTTCAGCCCTGTTCATAGTTGATATTCTACTTTATAATGAGCTGGCAATCCTCCTAAATGCCTATCAAGTACATTTTATTGATCTGGCTCAACTGCCTAATAAAAGTCTTCATGACCCTCTGCGGAATACTTGGTTTTCCCGTCATGATCTGATATTACCTTGATCTACTGTAATTACTCTACCTAACGCTCTTGTAGCAGTGCCATCTTCAAATACACTTCAAACAATCAGTCATGAAGACAGTCGGGGATCTATTGTAGCTTTGGGGAGGAAGGGCCTCGTCACGCCGCCTGTCTTTCATTATTTCAGTGTGACACAACCCGATGTCACAACCAGACGGGAAGAACGAGATTGAAAAGTAAAAATGGCAGCTGCTGTCAGTGGAGGGTGAAGGTGAGTCACTGGCCTCACATCCTCCACAAAACCTCCATGTTTCATCTTCATGGGTGGGGGGGTGGGGGGCTACTACACACACGGAGACTTTTATTTCTCACATTACCATGTTACATAGAAACTGCTGAATGCAGGAGTACTGATAAAAAGTATTTTATTGAGTGGGATGATATCTTTTCTTTTTGCACATGATTGAAATGTAACAGATTAACAGCAATGCTGAAATGATTCCTCATTTTACTAGTCAGTTTTATATCACTGCCTCTTGAATATCTTTGTTTGTACAAAACAATGTGAAAATATCACCTTGGGAACTTGTGATTGCCATTTTTTTTTTTTGCACTATTTTCTTACATTTTACAGACTAAACAATTCATCTAAAATGAAAATAGCCAGTAGCTGCAGAACGACATACTGCGACTTAGTCAATTAGGCAAAAAACAAAAATATTCAAGTGCTTTCTTTGCTAATACAGCCTGTTGTGCAGAGCCATTCACAGGTGAGTCTAGAAAACAAAACACATGTCTTGGTCTCAGCTCCAGCACTAAGTCAGCCGCAGGGCTCTCAGGGCACTACTCCTACAGCCGTTTGTGATGTATACGAGTAGTAATCGCTTCCTCATCTCTGCCAAAGAAACGTGATATGAAACACGTTCTAGTGGTGTGAGCCACCACGTCTCTGACCCACAGCATCCCTCCACTCATTACTCACATTACAGCGATGAGGGCAAAATCAATAGGGACTTAGCACCAGGATCAATCATTAAGATTACCCCACCTCTTTCTCCAGACTGACACCTGCTTTTTATTCATGGAGAGAAGAGGGGGGGAGGGGGGTGGAATTAGAGGATCACAAAGAGAGGAAGGGGCCGTCTACAAGCAGTATATACTCCATCAAATGAGAGGAGTGCGCACATAAAACACAGTAAGGAGAGCGAGAGTGTAGACTGACAGATCACATACACGTCAGTTTAACAAAAAAACGGTGTAATTCTCCTGCTAGGCAGCAGATAAATACTGTATAGTGGGATGGATGGGGCTGCTGCATCCCTGCTCTCGATTTTAATCTCCCACTTGTCTTGTGTGACAAGGCTGTGCATTTACATGGAAATCCGGCTTGTAGCTAAATAAATCGCGCAATTAAGTGGCGACAGGAGCCGACAGAGCCTTATGAGACACACGTACCATCCAATCAATGTTACACGTGTCACTCAGTCAAGAGGTGCTGCATTGGAAAGGTTTAACTTGTGTGACACTTGTGAATTTACTTTACAATGCACACACCTGAAAGGTGGTAAAATGTGTTAGGACAGATTTATTCCTGCTTTTTAGGAGTGTGAGCCTTTGTTGCACGACACAGGACTCAAAGAATCTCATCCAACTTGATCTCAATCCTTGAAAACAGCCGATGAATATGAATCTCACCATTGACGATTCACATTTCAAATAGCCAAATTCAACTACACTATTATTAGTATTCAGTTTACACTGTCTCCAGCACTACATTGTTAAGATTACAGGCATTGTATTGGTATTGTTCTATCAGTGAACTGTAAGCAGTGAATCCTGCATCGATCCTTCATCCAACAGAGGCTTTGTGGAGAGCCCAAACTCAAGTTTGTACCCTCTGCGATCCCTCAGGTACACACACACACACACACACACACACACACACACACACGATCCACAGTAAGACACTGCATGCATGCATTGAGAGTGGAGTGTTATGATGTTGCGTCCTTGTATAAACTTAACAAGGTTGTACAACTTTGAACTGGCTCACCGCAGTGAACGGAACACACTGCTGGAGACGCAACAAATGTCCAGCAGGATGAACAAGACTCAGTCTTCTGTGGTAGCTATATTTCTTGCCTACTTCATTTTTTTTGTATCCCCTCTGTTAAGGGTCCAGTAGCCCTCTATACAACTATTCCCAAATCCTCAGTCTTTCTTAGATGAATCTCTAAAGTATCTTCTTCACCCTCCAACGCAGGTCACGTCTTCTGGGGTACCAGGGGCGTCGCTATGACCGTCCCCTCTAGCGTCCGGTTAGCTGGGAGAGGCGGGGGACTCCAGTCCGGCTGGTAGAAGTGGATGTCAAAAGTCCGTGCCCAGTTGGCGAAGACCCGTTTCTCCGTGATGAAGCGGTGGTGGCTGCCCCGCCGCCCACGCTCATGAGAAAGGTACATGGCGCATTCATCCGGACCACGTGGCTCGTAGTAGTGGTAAGGGACGGAGTGGTGCTGAGGCTCCCTGCAGCATTAGTGAGAGAAGAAGAGGGACGGTTGACATTTCAAAATGCTTTAATCAGTCACTTGAGTTTCATGTGGCGGCACCACAAAGGGTTCTTCACTTCGGAGGGAGGGAGAAAGAAAGGGGGAAGTGTTTGCCTTCATTTGTTTGTCTTTGCATGGATTACGCATCCAAATTCAGCCCATTTAAATAAATGCCACCTGTAGGTCAACACTGAATGGAAAAGACAAAGGTTTCAGTATGAATTATCCATTATAAAATCCATTATATAAAATGGAGCCTCTGGCATGGACGCCACATGTTCAACACAGTACATCATCTAATCGTGCATGTCTTAGTAATCATGATGGCATACTATAGTATGGCTTCTTCTGTGACTTTTTTTGTCACACTTTTATGACAAACTATCCAATTACTTTTAATATAATACTACATTTCTGTGATAGTTTCTTGTTGCATATTGTACTATGACCTTTTTATGACACATTCTGTACCCTTAAAGGTTCTCTGTCATACTGTACTATGAGGTTTTGACACTTTTTATGGCATATGACCTTTTTTGACATACTTTAAAGTAAACAAATTATGTATTAGTATTTGATGTTATTTTTATATGACACACTATGCTATGTCTTTTTTGAGACATACCTTGCTATGACAAGTTTTGTGACGTGCTAAATCATGACCTCTTTTATGATACTCTGTCAAAGATGTCATAAAAAAAATCAGAGTATAACAACCTTTTTATGGCATACTGTACTACAACTATTTTTATGACACATTTATGATGTATATACAATGACATATGCTATGACAGGTCTTTGACACTTTTTGTTGACACCTTTAATGACGTACCGACGGCTTTTTTCCTTTACATTTTTTATGAAACACTTGACCATATTATAAAATATACTTTGACTTTTTTTAATGACAAACTATAATATGACTTCTTGAGGAAATTGAAGATTTGATGAAGACTTTTTTCCACGTACGTCTTAATTATTTTATTACTTAAGTCAACCATTTGTTCAAAGAAATGAAGCCGCATTTCCCTCATTATCATCATGATCGAATTTGTGACTAAACCCCAAATAGAAAATAAGTATTTAATCAATCAGAACCAGGAACAAAGATATACATAGTATTTAACAGTTTGTTCTTTTTTTATTGAGAAATCTAAAAAGATTTGTTCCTTGTCCAATAAAATCACCCAATTAAAGCGTTGGTCGAGACAAATGAGACGTGTGCTGTAATTTCAAACCATTAAACTGCCACTGAGGGACTGGATAGCAAGACTTTGTATCCCACAGTTCTTTGCATTGCTGCTACATGGTCATGGTGTTGTAGAACTGCTCAGTGAATAAAGAAGGAAATAACCTGTTCTGAGATTTAGAGACAGTGCAAAAAAATATCCCATTTCTTTTTGCCAAATGCAGATATTTTCCAATAGCAGAAGGATTAAATGCTCCTCGATGGGTTAAGAGAAATATACTTCTCAGGCTAAGAAGTAAAAACTTGGTTTAAAGTATTTCTCTATAACATTTATTTTTTAGCAATTATATAAGCAGCCATTGAAGTTAAAAACACATTTGGGTATTACTAAAAAGATTTTAACACCTAAAAACTCATAATTTGCTTTGTCAGGTTTTCGGTGGTTTGGTTTTATCAAATTTGATTGAAAGTGACAAAACAGTTTTTACCAACCGTCATCAGATTCTGGTTCAAATGTTTTCTTAAGCTCATGTAAAGTTGACATATGAGATACACTGAGAGACAACATTGATATTATGGTTCATTAGCTAATTAACATTACTAATGTTTATGTAAAAAAAAATACTTTTTTTTTTAAATGATCACTGGAAAGAAAGTGTTTGAACCAAACGATCTTTCGAGGGAAATCAGCTTTTAGTATAACATGAAATGTTGTATGATAAAGTTCTCTTGTTGTACTTCAGTGCGTATTGTGTTGATGATTGACTGAGGACCAGAATTGGTAACTGCTAACAAACTAACATTATATTCCTGGGCTGTTGCACTAAAACACAAATTTTATACTTGCAGGTATCCAACAACAGAAATACTAAGATCCTTTACTTAAATAATAGCAAATTCTACAAATACTTCATTATAAGGAAATCCTGAATTTAAAATGTTGCTTAAAAGTATTATCACCTAAGTGTACTTAAAATATTAAAAGTGAAAAACTATTTTGAAAGAGGAATCACTCCAGTAAAATAAGGCTTGCCTTTGAGGCTGAACATGCATTATCTCTCATTAAGTGTCCAGTTCACAGGCCGGATCTTCAGAAGTCTGCATCTCCAAACTGAATAATCCAAAATATGTAATAAAGGATGAACAAGGCTCGTCTTATCTCAAATTCATGCAGGAAATAAAGCCTTCCTTTCCCTGAAGTTTGGGGAATACAACTGCAGCCCTCGGTAGCCGATAATCAATCCACTTTGTGTTTTGGTCAATTGTTAGATGTTGTTTTCGACTTTGTGTCTGCGGAGGATGAATGACCAGAAAAAAAGCGCCGTGGGAATGCTGTATGGTGTGACAAAGAAAACAAATATAACCAAAGTAAAGCCCGGGTAAACAAAGGGAGACTGCTTGATTGCAACAAGCTTCAGTAGTGTAGCAGGGCCTTAGACCAAGTAAGCTGAATCTCCTTTAAAGAAGGAAGCCTTTCTACAGATACAGACCTCAGAGAAAACCTTAAGTATGGGCGACAAAGCCATTTTTCACTCTGACATACTGTGCAATGATATTTGTGGTGGCCAGAAAAATGGAGCAGAGCGAGACCTAAGCTTTCTCTCCCTCTCGTATCTCAAACGCACACAAATGTAAAAAAAAAATAAATCAATACTTGTAACGCACGTCTGTGTTTTGACTTTTTAAACTGATATTCAGGCAATTTAAGCATCTCAAAAACATATCTAGCCACACTGACATTGTATTAATAAAGTTGCCTGAATATATTTACGATTTAAATCTTTCTTATCAGGTGGATATGCTGCTAAGAATTTCTACAACCTTGATGCGACTGCATATACTGCTCTGCTTTAAAAAAAACTCTTGGTGATGGTGCTTGTTGGTGAGCTGATGATGTTTTACATGCAGCTCCACTGTCTCACCTGCAGAAGTCAGGGGCAACCATGCCGTAGACATTGATCCTATCGCACAGCTCCAGGGCGATGGTCATCGTGAACCAGCCGGTGCTAAGCCAGGAGTTTGATACTCTTCTGTAGAGAAGAGGAGGAGGAGAAGTTAGAAGGATTTTATTTGTGGAGAAAAATTTACCATATTTGATTTTTTCAGAATGTGATTAACTGCGATAGACAATCGGAAAATTTCACATCGGCGTTTTATGGCAGAACAAAGATTTATCTAAATCTAGAGGTTGATTTTTCTGACTGCAAGATCATTCAAGTTCCCTCGCAGCTTCATTAATATACAGATCCATCCTACATATCGACCGATACAAATGAACCCCGTCAAATAATCAAACCCTTAATCAGAAAGTAGTCGTGTGAATTTAGTGCAGATAGCTGAAATGACAAAGCTTCAGCTGCAGTTTTTAGTCATGCCTATGAATGTCGTTATGAAAGAAATATGAAATTCTATTTTTATTGCATTACGAAATCCCTCTAAATCGAAATGTTCAAAGTGGTCTCTGTCGTAGGGTTGCCGTCAGATGAAAAAAACATTACAGCATACATTTTTTAAGATTCCCTTGTTTTTGAATATATTTAATGGGCTCCAAAGTCCTACAACTTCAAACACCACTTCTAAAAGGGCCGTGAAGACATTCAGTTGAAAGTGAAAATACATTTAACTAAAACTAAACTAAACTCTGGTACTTTGATTCTGGGGTTTCAACAGCAAACGTAATGAATAAGCCCTAATGATGGTTAACGTTAATATACTGCAATGAGAAAATACTGGAATATAAAATACACTGAAATGTTTATCAGAAGCTTCCTTAACACAGGATGCATTAACCTGACTTTTTATATAACTACCTTACATCAATGACACGCCAACATGCATTTGGGAAGTGTTTTCAAGACCTGATGACCAACTGAATGCACTCTTTGTGATGGCCTGAATAAATGATAAATCACCCGAACTGTTTTAGCACACTCGTGATTCAAGAGGGCAATGTTGGTCTGTGCACCACTTTGGTTCAGACTGAAATATATTAACTATTAAACAGATTGTCATCGAATGCTGTACAGACATTAGTTATCAAAGAGGCAGAATCCTGGCTTACATTTTTAGTTTTTAGGGAAATATCTTGACACCTACTGGGTGCCAGGACTACAAATATTCACAGTCACTAGAGGATAAAGTATAATTTCTTCAGTAAGGTCCACAAATTCATCTGGCACCATAATCAGGTCAAGCATTTATCATTTTCCAACACTTTGGTTTTAGATCAAATAAAATACCTGCAAAACGTACGTCACTCCCATCAGCCTCGCACGCCAACATGCTAAACAAAGATGGTGAACACGGTAAAGAATCACCTGCTAAACATCAGCATGTCAGCACCGTCACTACGAGCGCGTTTGCATTTAGCTCAAAGCACCGCTGTTCCTACGAGCAGCCTCACAAGAGCTGCCAGCGTGGCTGCAAGCTGTGGGTTTCACAAAGCAGTCGGGACAGAAAACTTTGTGATGCTGATCTCTGGCTTGTTGGCCTGTAGCCACGGTTGTAATCACTGCCAAGCACAGTCATGCAGAAGGTTTAGCCGTTGTGGTCCAAAGCACTTTTGGAACAATCTGTATTCATCAAATCAATTTATAAATTAGTTTGAGAAACAAAAAAACCTGTTCTTGTTCCCTTACGCGCTGTGTAAAAACATTTAGGTATGAGCCGATATAACAGTTCAGCAGAGGTACATTTTAATCCCACAGCTGAATCAAGCACAGCTGTGAATCTCGTCATGCTTCCCCTGCCGCACAGAATCCTGACTGGGATTGTGACTGCTGGCCAGTGGATGTGCTCATGCATCAGTTATCAGGTGCATTTGAAGATGGCCTCTTTGGAAATATCAAATATGGTGGTGACGTCACAAGACGAATAACCCCTGCAACCTTTATCATAATTGTTCCAACAGAGCCCTTTATTAGAAAAATAAATCAACAGTGAAACCAAATGAATTCTACTGAACGTCCTCATTCAATAATAACAGAACTAATAGTGCCACCTGTAGTATTTCACCATCAGTAAATCATTGCCACGTTAATTATAATACCCGAGTATAAGATTGACCAACATATTGCATCTCATTTTGCATGAAGCACATGTGAATATTTTGGAAAATGTGCTGGGACAAAGAGAGCGTACTCAAAATAAAGAGAGATTGCTTCATGGTGCAGAGCTAAACCTTTCAGACGTCTGTGCTTTGTCAGATGATAAAAGAAGCGAAGGTTGAAGGGGAAAAGAGGGGGATAAGATTATGGGCTGCAAGTAATACTATTGGCATTATATTATAAATGTACTGGAAAATAAACTGTAGTTTTGCAAACTAGTATGTGGTATAATATTTACCACAATCATCTCAGTTTAGCACACTAACATTTGCTAATTAGCACTAAACACAAAGTACAGCTGAGTATTGGACAAATTAAATGTCCAAATACAACTGTAGAAATAGCTCAATGGCTCTGAAGGGGGCATGAAGGTGTTTTATGACAATCCAACAGTTGTTAAGACACTTCACTCAATATTACAAATGTCAACTTCATGGTGGCACTAGAGCCAAAATCAAGACGATCACTGAAGACGTGAGGACACGTCATTGGAAAAGTGTAAATCGGAGATATTTCACCAGATAAGTGAAAACTTGTGGCGCTGGATGAAAAGTACAAACAAAGTAACAATGAATCCTCCTGTTTTCATTTCACCTGCACTTTAAAGACTTAAAACAAGACTTCAAATGTGGTGAAGGTACACTAAGCAGGATTTCTCCTAAAATAAAATGCATAGACTCGTACAAACGTAATCCCTCTAAATCATAACTGATGACTCCCTAGACATGCGAACCTGTATTTTCTCTTTTCTTTTCATTTTTGCTGTGTTCGGGACATTTCTGGACGTCAGTGTTTGGCCGTTGGGTGACTGTCACGCACGACCGAGCATGCATCCAAGAGGAAGGTACGAACTACAGCGGCGGAGGTTTCAATGTCGGTCCCAGTGCCAAAAAAACCCTCAAATACAGTGAGGCGAGACGCCAAGCAGACGCAGCTTGTTAAAAAATGAGTGAATCTGGGGTTCCTGTTCACTTTGTGAAGCTGCAGGTGGTACACTGGGCTGTGTTCTGGTAACCGCGGTCAGGAGACGTGCTCTTCTTGTGTCATTGATGTAAATAGGAGTAAGGAGGCAAAGGATCAAACTCAGTTTGACAGGATCTCCTGTTCCCTCGACCACCTCGTCACCCTGCTGCTTGCAGACAGCTTGTTACTGCCTCTCATCTGTTCACACACATATACACGAGCATCCACAGCACCCGAGGTTTCAACTTGGCAAGACACAGAAACAAAGCAGGGGCCTGATGAGAAAAGACTTGACAAGAACAACCTGGCAGACTCGGCACCCTGCTCGCCTCCGGTTGATGAGGGTGACAACATTCGGAGTAGAGGGTTTACCTTGCCGTTTGAAAAGGTGTTTCTCTTATTTTACACGTCAGGCACGTCCTTAAATAAAAAGCCTGTTAAGCATTTGTATTTTCAACAATTCCTCTGCTCGGAGACGATGGAATATAAACACATGTGGCTGGGAAGCTGTAGAGGAAGTGAGGAAACGTTCAGGGGACGTTATAAACAGGACCAAACGGTGTCATGAATACTACTAGTGCCATTGTGGTGTCACTATTATCGTGCATGGATTACATACTTGAATTCGGTCGCTCAAATAAAATGGTGGAGGGTAAATATAATGTGTAGTAAATGGGGAGTGATTGGTTTTGTTCTCTTTCAGCAATTAAAGCTGGGGTTAGCAACATTGGAAAAACCAGCAAGAGTAGACTAGATTAACTACATTTTAAGAATTGGTCGACCGAAAACCCCAGCCCAGTGTAGCCAACTTATTCCAATGAACGTAGCTAGCAGCACCGGCTCCAAAAGCTGCTAAATCTAGCCGCCATGTGAGCAAAACTGTAAAGTGTCCTTCCAGGCCTCCCTCTAAAGCCACTCCCACAAAAATATAATGAGCGTAAACAACAAACATGACTATTGTTAGTACTCGCAACTGTAAAACTAGCAGCTTATGGAAGACTACGGTGACGCGCAATGAGTGCAGGGGCCGAGTGCCCACAGGTAGGTAGGCCGTTCAGTCATTTAATTCAGCCACAATAATTGGCTTATTACAACCCTGTGACAGCCACAGATGCCAGATTTTTGTATTGTTTTGTCAGAGCATTTGATTTATTGATTGCCGTTGGTATGTAGAGAACTGCAACAAATAAATAAAAAAAGGTTTCTTAAATGCATTACCGAGTAAAGCTTTAAGCATATCGCAACAACTCTAAATTATTTCCCACCAATCAGACCTTTAATTCAACAGCATTGTGTTTGCAGTAGACATCTACAAATGTGCAGCTTCCTGCCGTTTTACTGTGTTGCCAAACAACCCCAAACCTCCTGATTCAATCAATCTGCACTGAGTGACAGTGTGATGAATAGTAACACACCTTCGTCCAACTTTTATCTTTATTAAAGTCTGTTCAGACCACAAACAACAGTGTCGACCCAAAGTGATGCTATCGCAGCTGAAGCACAGACTTCTCATTTAATTACAACAGGACCCAGGTTGTCTGGAACATGTTGATTTGTTGTGATATGCGAACACAGTCAGTGGGCTTTACTAGCACACACACACGCACACCTTTTGCAAATTAGAAAACTTCAGAAAAGTTCAAAGCGCAACATTTTGTCATCAAGCAGTCTGTGGTGGATGCACGGAGGTCGTAGTGAGGCGGCAGCTAATCTCACTTAAGGAGTCTTCCTCATTTCCTTGTTGATGAACATGCTGATGAATAATGTGGTGTGAAATGTCAAGCTCTGAGCTTCAATGGCGGTCTTTAAAAGGACTGGAAGCAAGCTGTGAGTGTGAAGATAGAGTAATCCCTGCACAGAGGAACGGTGTCGCTGCACGCGTTTACACAGTTTGGTATTGAAAAGCTGGCAAAAGTACACAGTTAACGAGCTGTTTCATTGTGTGTTGATCCTTAAAATCTTATTTCTATTAAAAAGTGAGATTATTCTTTGCTCGTATTTCATAAAAGTAGATTTACAATATAATGGCACTGATACAAAAAGAAAAAAGAAAAGGATTTGCTCCATTTACTTTGAGAAGAATTAGATCATAGATTAAAAATAGTCAAGTGTACAGTGAATCTCTCCAATTGTGTATTTTTGTTGTGTTCATTTCTGAAGAGGTGTATTGTCAGAGTTTATTATAGTGGTTGTTATCCAACTGCTGAGAGGTGGAGGTCACATGAAGGTGTGATTAGTGCAATTAGTTAAAGCTGAAACACTTGATCATTATACATGTACTCTTATGAGGACATGTAGCTTATTCCCCTCATTATTATCATAATATGTCTTTTATAATGTTGCTTCTCTTTGAGCAGCAGACTTTCCCTAAATTGAGAGTTTTCCTAAATCTAATTCCAAGAAAAGATAAATACAGAGCACTGGTTCTGGTGGCTCTTTGAACTCTCCACTGCTGCATTGTTCTCTGTTGCATATTGGGAATTCTCTTCTCCTCTTTTTGACCCTTAGAGTCAGAGGATTTGTTTCTCAGGACTGCCAATGCTTAAGGTGGCATTTTTCCAGCATTTAGATTTTCTGTTACAGGGATCAAACCTGGGACCTTTTGGTGACTGAATGAACCCGCCATCCAAACGCATTTAACAACAGGAAACTACATCAAATGAATCGAGTAGACACCTAACAGTGCAACACAGTGAGACGATTTCCATTACGGACGCTTTAAATACTGCATTAAAAAAAAAAATATACATTTCAAAAGCTAATTTGCCTTTAGTCACCGGTTGAGGCTCATTCTGGTTTGGCAATTTAACCGAGATTGCAGAGGGACACCTGTTTTTTATTGCTCCTCTGCCAGTTATATTAAAATGGGTGGATGTGACAACAACGCACACCATCTTAATTACCTTTCCTGAAACGGCATAACCCATAATTACAATTACAGGCTTGCAGGGTTGCCGATCGCGCAAATTATTACCCAGAAACTCTGCTATTAATGTGGCTCACACAGGCTCCCAATCCTTAAAAACAGTAGGATTCATTTTACAAATTAGGCATGAAAATATTGTTCTTTCATACCGACAGCATCCTTTAAACCGTTCTCCAAGATTAGAAATAAAAAAGCAATACTTTAAGGCTTACTCTCTCTCGCTCTTCCCACGCTCCACAGAGCAGAGATGACCTCAAATAAGCCTCACATATATTAACGCCTAATGCTATAAAAAGGATAACAGTACATCAGGATCCGCTTGCTCACTGTAAACATTTACCATGATAGGCACTGATCCTGAAGGATGGCTGTCTGAGCTATTCACCGCATCCTCTACTTGGCAATTTCCTCCCTGACATCTGTCTTAAAGTCTGATTCCTTCTCCAATGACACCCCGGACAAAGAGAGAGACACACAGTGTGTGTGTGTGTGTGTGTGTGTGTGGTAGCATTTTCATTAAGTATTAATGGCCAAGGGACAGAGAGGGACACTCAGCTTGGACTCATTCAATTTGAGTCTTTTAACACTGGGCAGCTTGAGAAAAGGTGTTCCAGAAACAAAAACGTACCCATTATATTCATCACATGTTAATAGGTTTTTCTTTCCGTTCGTCAAATTATGATTTCACATTAAGCATTCACTTTGAATACATCACGAAGGTAAATGTTTCAAAGGGTAGCAGGAAACTCCAACATCGTAATGTTTCATTAAACCAGAGTTTACTTTTTGATGTCTTTCTAGCTTGATTTTCAAGAACAACTCACACTATCGATGCAAAGTCGTACTTTGACAGCCAACTTGTACAGGTGCTGGTCATATAATTAGAATATCATCAAAAAGTTGATTTATTTCACTAATTCCATTCAAAAAGTCAAACTTGTCTATTATATTCATTCATTACACACAGACTGATATATTTCAAATGTTTATTTCTTTTAATTTTGATGATTATAACTGACAACTAAGGGAAATCCCAAATTCAGTATCTCAGAAAATTAGAATATTGTGAAAAGGTTCAATATTGAAGACACCCGGTGCCACACTCCAATCAGCTAATTAACTCAAAACACCTGCAAAGGCCTTTAAATGGTCTCTCAGTCTAGATCTGTAGGCTACACAGTCATGGGGAAGACTGCTGACTTGACAGTTGTCCAAAAGACGACCATTGACACCTTGCACAAGGAGGGCAAGACACAAAAGGTCATTGCAAAAGAGGCTGGCTGTTCACAGAGCTCTGTGTCCAAGCACATTAATAGAGAGGCGAAGGGAAGGAAAAGATGTGGTAGAAAAAAGTGTACAAGCAATAGGGATAACCGCACCCTGGAGAGGATTGTGAAACAAAACCCATTCAAAAATGTGGGGGAGATTCAGAAAGAGTGGACTGCAGCTGGAGTCAGTGCTTCAAGAACCACTACGCACAGACGTATGCAAGACATGGGTTTCAGCTGTCGCATTCCTTGTGTCAAGCCACTCTTAAACAACAGACAGCGTCAGAAGCATCTCGCCTGGGCTAAAGACAAAAAGGACTGGACTGCTGCTGAGTGGTCCAAAGTTATGTTCTTTGATGAAAGTAAATTTTGCATTTCCTTTGGAAATCAGGGTCCCAGAGTCTGGAGGAAGGGAGGAGAGACACAGAATCCACGTTGCTTGAGGTCCAGTGTAAAGTTTCCACAGTCAGTGATGGTTTGGGGTGCCATGTCATCTGCTGGTGTTGGTCCACTGTCTTTTCTGAGGTCCAAGGTCAACGCAGCCGTATACCAGGAAGTTTTAGAGCACTTCATGCTTCCTGCTGCTGACCAACTTTATGGAGATGCAGATTTCATTTTCCAACAGGACTTGGCACCTGCACACAGTGCCAAAGCAACCAGTACCTGGTTTAAGGACCATGGTATCCCTGTTCTTAATTGGCCAGCAAACTCACCTGACCTTAACCCCATAGAAAATCTATGGGGTATTGTGAAGAGGATGATGCGAAATGCCAGACCCAACAATGCAGAAGAGCTGAAGGCCACTATCAGAGCAACCTGGGCTCTCATAACACCTGAGCAGTGCCACAGACTGATCGACTCCATGCCACGCCGCATTGCTGCAGTAATTCAGGCAAAAGGAGCCCCAACTAAGTATTGAGTGCTGTACATGCTCATACTTTTCATGTTCATACTTTTCAGTTGGCCAAGATTTCTAAAAATCCTCTCTTTGTATTGGTCTTAAGTAATATTCTAATTTTCTGAGATACTGAATTTGGGATTTTCCTTAGTTGTCAGTTATAATCATCAAAATTAAAAGAAATAAACATCTGAAATATATCAGTCTGTGTGTAATGAATGAATATAATAGACAAGTTTGACTTTTTGAATGGAATTAGTGAAATAAATCAACTTTTTGATGATATTCTAATTATATGACCAGCACCTGTATATTTGATTTTTGGCAGTCAAAGTACCAACTGTTCGTGCTGTGTTGCTGTGTAAATATAAACTACCCGTCCACAACTACACAACTTGCATTCTCTACTGACCAGCAGGAGGCGACTCCTCCGGTTGCAAAAAGAAGTTGATTTAGTCAATTATCGTCCCATTTAAAGTAAAATGGACCATAAAGCGGAGTACGCTTTAGGGCGGCCTTACTGTAATTGACAGGTTGCTGCCGCTACCAGAGCTGTATACGGCGTCTCTACGCAAGTCCTCCGCATTCCAAGTATGGTAACTTACGTTCATTGGTTGCGGAAAACAACATGGCGACAGCCGTAATCCAAGATGGCGACAGTGAAATCGGCGAACTCAAGGCTTCAGACCGGCAGTCCACAAACCAATCGGTGACGTCATGATGACTATGTCCACTTCTTATATATACACACAGTCTATATGTGGGACCTATTTTGCCCAATCCTTACCATAGCTACATGTAACTACATAGCTGCCTGTACTCAACATGATGAATACTGGCCCTTAAACACTGGGAATAGTAATGGACTTGAATATGCAAGTTAATCTGGTGTGATCTATTAACCAAAAACATGACCACAATATAATACATGTCATTGTTACTCAGGGCTCCAAATAAAGATTTTAATCATCTGTCATTTTTTGTGTTTTTAATAATGGATGAATTTTTAGTCAATAGAATACATCAACCACAGTTTCCAGCAAAAGGTGAAGCTGTTAAATGTCATATTTTGTCTAAATACAAAAGATAATTATAATTTAAATCATAAAGCAGCAAATGCTCACATTCGACAATCTTGAACTGACAAACGTTTGGAATATTTCCTTGATGAACAGATGAAAATTGCTGGTTTATTTTCTGTTGATCTACTACTACTACTCTGTTCATTAAACCAAATACACTTTTGCATAGTTAGAATCCTTATTACGTATTGCATTCTTGTACACTCATTGTGATCATTTTTTCCTCACCTGTCCTTGCCGGTCTCCTTCTTGAAGAGCTCGTCGAACTGCAGCATCTTCTGCCAGGAGATGATGTAGACTTTGAGTTTGGGTAGCACCTGGTTCATCAGCCTCAGGTTATTGTAAACAAGGCCCTTCCCGTCACGCCTCATATAGCTGCTGGGGCCCCAGAAGATGAACACCGTGTCCTGACTGGCGTTAAGCAGCTCGTGGCGATTCCGCAGGACCCTCTGCATGCTGGAGTGAGCGATGACGCGCAGGGAGGTACGCTGGCCGACGTCTCCGGCGTAACCCCTGGCGGTGGGGGCGTCGTTCATGCGGATGACGCACTCGGCCCGGTCGATCTCTTCACCCCGACCGCCTCCGATGAGGTGACCCGAGCTGGTCACCAGGGCGCAGGTCTGGCAGTGCATCCTGGGAGGCTGATTGATGGCAAAAACAAACAAAAAAAAAAAAAAAAAAAAAAAAAAAAACAAGAGCGTAAACAGAACATTCTCAAAAGAATACATACTGTGCATCAGAATATTTGGCCTCCTCATTCCCCGTGGAAGCACCCGCAGCACTGCCAGCAGAATCTTTTGCACCATATTTGTTATAAACTCTACAAACTTTCTTTTTCCAGAAGTAACAACTGCTCTGAAAGTTGTGTTTAGCCCTAGTTTATAGAGAAATATGCAAAGCAGACAGAAATGCACACCTAGGGGAACTTTGGTAAAAAGCTTCGCTATGTGTTTGAGGCAGGAAATGCTTTGTTGACAAATGGGTTGTGACAGAGCCTCGTGGGGATATGCAGCTTGTCATATTGCTTTGCGATTGGTAGAAACCCCCGGGGTCTTACAAAGAATTCACCTTACATCTTTCTCCCACACAACAGAGGAATGTGTGTTTACCTCCCAAACAACAGTCCTGGTACATACAATTCATGTTGAATTCCTATCAAATATGAACCTATAAAGTATTCAGCATTTCATACATTTGAAGCTCAGGAACCCTTTAGGATATTTATGAAAGATGAGAACATAATACGCATTAGGTTTGTGTTATTTAATCCACATATTCCTGTTTCCTACTTTATCTTTGTCTACTACCTTTCAACAGGATGAAACACATGTGATCGGGGGATTTGTTTGACTTGGTATGCCTTTGTTTTGTTTCATGTAGGTACAAGCGAGTGTACATGCGAGTTCCTCTGTGGGTACATATATGCATGAACTTTCTTTATGCTTGATTGGTGAGAGCTGTCTTCTCTCGTCTCCTTTTTATTATTATTCATATCCTGCATTTTTAAAACCTTTATAATTAAACAAACACTGCCAGAGCCACCCAAAGAATGAATAAAATATCTGTTGCATATTGTCAAACAAACCCAGGAAGGGATAGTGATCAATTAATGATTTGTTTCGAATCAAAAATAAAACTGTCTGATTCCAGCTTCACATTTTTTGAATATTTGCTTTTTTTTAAAAATACAATATGTTATTAAACTGAATATCTTTGGGTTTTCGACTGTCGGTAGGACAACACAAGCAATTTGAATGTGTCAACTTGGACAATAGGGAATATTGTGACGGACAGATTTGAACTATTTTCTGACATTTTATGGACCAAAGAGATTAAACGAGAAAATAGACAAATTGATAAGCAATGCAAATAATAGTTGCAGCCATAAACTCATATCCGCGTAAACATTTTTAGGGCATTCTGGCCATTCCACCAATGTGACAAGCATTTTGTTGATTTAAATTATAGCTGTAATTATAATAAATATACAATGTATATGTATTTTGACATCTTCCAGATTATTCTGCTGTTTTTTTTCTACAATCATACAAAAAAAAAAAAGACAACCATCCCCCGTTATTGAAGACCCAGCCGCTGTTTGAAACCACATTGCCAGTCATGCATTTGTACATGTACAGTTCATTAAGTCTGCGGCCTCTTTTCCTCTTTAGCCCTGCCATGTGCAAGCACATAAATCATTAATATAAACCTATTTGTGTATGTTAAGCAGCTCTGCATGTTGGCGGTGTGTGTGCGTGTGTGTGTGTGTGAGAGGCTGGTACGTGTGCACTTCGTATGCGCGCATGTGGGTGTGTCTGTGCTTTTCCCCCTGCACTGAAAAGCAATCATACGCAAACCAGGTTCTGCAGAGCCCTCTAATGCCCCCTGAAATATCTCCCCAGCAGAAATATGGTGGTTATTTACATTCTTATTGCCATAACACATTTACATCTTCAAGATATTAACAAGAACAAATGATTATCGCTGGATGTGTGTGTGTGTGTGTGTGTGTGTGTGTAAATGTGTCATTGTCATCCTCATCTTTTGACTGACTTAGTGGCAGATTACCAGCTGAACAGCCTCATCTGGTTAATGAGACCTTGAGAAGCAGAGGGAGAACGATACAAAGAGGGAAGGTGGGAAAGAGAGAGAAAAAGTGTTAAATACAAGGGAAAAGAAAAGATGGCAAAAGAGAAAGATATATAGAGGCATGCGAGAGCCACCTCGGTGCCTCAGTGTTTGATGAAATGTTGAGCTAATGAGATCCTAGCGGTCTACACCAACACCAGCATCCATCCATTCCTTCCATCTGCTCCACACCCCACCCTTTCCCCTCTCCCACCTGGCAGCACCTTGACAGCCAATCTGGCAGTAGAGCTGCAGCACCAGTGGAGCAGGTCAGAAATCCCATTTTCACCCAGGGGCTTTTAAGTGGCTCCACAGACGCCATTCTCTCTTCCTCTGTCTCACAGAGAAAGTAAGTGGGCCTTGCCCAGAATTGGCCACTTCAGGGAGCTCGGTCAGGCTATTACCAAGAAATCGCCTGGATGGTCTGGACAATGTTCTCCATTTCAGCCGGAATTACGTGACCCACGCAATATGGTGGTTTGGGGCGATGCAAACTGTAGTTTACCCAAGAACTGGCTCAGAGAAACTCACAAATCCTAAAAAGAAACCTCTACATTTCATTAAATTTCATTCAAACTTCATTTATTCTCGACAAAACTCCACTCAACGCTTCATGTGATTAATAGTTCATCATTCAAAACACATCTATCAGTGTGTTAGAAAGAACAAAGCCAGCGATTTCACACACAACGAAATACCTTTGATCATAATTAAAAGATTTGCTACGTTTAAACTCCGGTTGCTGAGGTTCTTTAAAAGTGTACTATATCAGCGTCCCGTTACATCATCTGATCAAAGCTGCAATCAATAATGTAACCCAAGTGAATATCCAAACTAAATTATGTATCCTGATTAACACGAGGCTATGTTTCACTTACTGGAGGCATGAAAATAGACCGAACAAAGAAGAAAATCTGGAAAAAAAAAAAAAAAAAAAAAAAATGTAGATCTGCACCGACTTTTCCAAGAAGCCAATTTTATTATTCAGATCATCTAACAGAATAAAAAAAACATAAAATGAGCTTATTTCATTGTTCAATCAATTCACAATAAAACATGAGTCCCCGTTTCTTCTATAAACCGACTGTAGTTTGGTCAACAATTGATTTAGAGTTATTCTCAAAAGGCTGATATGAGAGTGCAAGGTAGCTTTATCTATTATATGCCTCGATCGATCAAGATAGCCTCGCTAACACTATAGATGTGTGTGTATGTATGCAATAAAGAATTTTGAGCTCCTTGTTCTTTACTTGTGTATTTAAAATGCATGTTATTCAGACTTCATGTATTAGACAGCAATCGTTACTAGTTACTTTTCAGATCAACATTTTCCATTAAAAAAAACCCCCACATGATAAGGTTATGCGATACAAAATATTGTTAATTATTTAACCAGTGGTTCCCAAACCTTATGGATTGTGAGCCCATGTCCTGTTTCAAGTGTCTAATATTTCACAACAAATGGAAAGGTAAGAAAAAAACAAAAGAAAACAGATTTTTGTCGCCAACTTAGATTTTTCTTTCGTCTTCCTGAAATCGTCACACGAACACTTTGATAAGTAGCTCCACCTAACCAGCTCAGCAATATTAAAGACATTTTGCATGGCCTTGTGAGCCGCTGCCGTCTGACCTAACTTTCAAACTGAGGCCTTTTAAAAAATAGATAACCAATTCAGTGCCTATGCATGTAGGGCACATGCATAGGCACTATGACGGGAAGCTGTATGTATAGTTTCTCACGTGAGACATGAGCATGTGCAGGCTTTGGAAATAAATTTCCCTCCAGGGACACAAAAAAGATGGTCCATCTATTATCTAATTGACTGAAGAGGTACAGAGAAGTTATTAAGATAATCTAAATAGATCTAACTATCAGAAAATAATAATCTCCATCGCAGGTTCACATAAAAACTCCAAAATTCAATTTACCATCATGTCAAATAGAGAAAAGCAGTAAATCTGCACATTTGAGAAGCTAGAACTAACTTACTTATAAGCTCACAACACAACAACATAGTTTTTCATTTCATAATGACATTTCCAGCCTAAGGGGTGACCTTGTCCCACTTGTGGCAAACACCGGGAGCCTGTCCTGGTTTCATTAGGCCCACCCATCCATCCACAGTGGCCTAGTAAAAGCTACAAAAACACCAACATTCAGACACAGCCAGTCACATCTCTGCTCCGCGACAACCCAGACAGCCGGGGTCAGACTCCTCTGTTTCCTCATTCTGGTCGGTATTCCGAACCCTCCTCTGCTTCTAGCGAGCCCGTCCGTCACAGGGGATGCATGAACCCTCACTGCCTGCCAGACTTCCTGACCCGAGGAAAACATGGCTGTCAGAGCTGCGTGGATTAACCTTGAGAAAGATGGCGGAGGGGATGCAAGTAAGAGGCAGCTTGAGTCTCAGAGCACCTGGGGAGGCGGGATCCTTGAGAGCAGCCTTCTGGTGTTGATTCGAGCACTGATTGAACATGATACTCGCCACTGAAAATGTGTTTCTCGTGTTCTGGACAAGCCTGGTGTTGTTGAGTGGCATTTGCAGGTCATGAAGAAGTGTGTAATCAAACAGAAATCAATACGACTCATATAATCACACATTATTACTGTGATTGTAGTTGGAAAAGATGGTGCAGTTCGGCCGGGCCTGATTGGCTTCGTAGTCAGTGCTCAGAGCCCTTCACTGCCCGTGGGTACCACGGGCAATAATTGGTGGTTTAAACTCACATGGGTCTTAAGGGGGCATGAAATCAGCTTTAATTCCTCACCCGACTCCCCCCTCTCCATTCCCTGACTTAGCTCGGTCCCTTGAGGAAAAGACATACTCACACTGCAATGAACCATTACGCATGACGTGTGCCATACCCCCTCAGGGCGGAGAAATGCCATTCCAGTGTTGTTATTGATTTTGTGTGGGTGAATGCAGTAGGACGGGGGGAATCGAGCGAGGGCTTAGTGAGGATGCCGGGTCTTCAAGGATGCGAAACTGAGGATATGGACGGTAAATGTGCG